GGGAATTCCTGGAAGCTTGGCACTCAGACACATCAGCCATCAATAGACACATAGAGATAAATCATATTTACACACCATTCCAAGAGACAATAAGAAAGCTAGGAAGGAAACAAAAAGACCAGAACACATCCTCTCCAACAGCTTATACCCAGATAAGCAAGGATTAATACCAGACAAACAATCAAGCAGAAAAAAAAATACTCTAATCAAGGAACTACCAAGGAGACAAACAATCAAGCAGACAAACAATCAAGCAGAAAACAATGCCTAATCAAGTAACTACGAAGGAGAAAACCACACACACACACACCAACACTGGCAGGGCAAGCTACTGTATATAAACAGGGAGCAATCTCCACACTCACTAGCATTAATGTTGTTACCTAGTCAGGTAATGAAATGTCTGCAATCAAACAACCAAGCTCAGAGAGCACCAAGGACTCCACAGTTCAACCCTGGGCTACATACATTTTCTTCTATTGGTAGAAATGGAAGATTCTGAGAAAGCCATAAAAAGAATAAGCAACAAGATCTATTAGAGTGATCCTCAAAAAAGCAGCAGAATTCATTCCTAGCATGATCTAGTTGCTTGTCCACACAATCTAAGCAGCACTGAAGTTAGGGTCAGTAGAAAAATGAGTGCACTCATATGCTTTTGACTTGCCCCATCATCTCCAATATCTATATATACCACTTCAAAGTACTGTATAAAGATTCCCCCATTTTCATTTCTTCTAGTGGAATTACATTAACACAGGCTCTACATAGGATATTGAGAGGATCAATACCAACTGCTGTCCACATTCCTTCTCTTGCCTGGTCATGAAACAAATTTTCTATGCACACTTTCTGTTCTAACATAGCTAAAAACAAAAACAAGAAAGGGTTCCTTTCTGGAAAGCATAATTAAAACATGGGTTTGTAACATTATTTATATTATACATACAGGATTTTTCTTCTTTTTCTCTTTATCCTTGCTTGGCTTTCTGTTACTAACAAAATAATGAAGAGTCCCATACTCCACCAGTGCAGAAAAAACAAAAATGAAGCAAACTGATACAAAGAGATCCATTGCTGTCACATAAGAGACTTTGGGTAGAGATTTGCGAGCAATTGTACTGAGTGTGGTCATTGTCAGGACTGTTGTAATACCTAGTGAGGAAACAGGAACAGACAGAAAAGTACAGAGCATTTATTGTTTCATAAGGAGAGAATTCTCGCGCTCCCCACACCCTTGTCAAAGCAGAAAATGCAGCCAACAGAGATGGGAGGAGAAATCAGGTCAGTTCCCATTTTGATGGAAACATACCTGCACTATCTATCTATTTATGTATATATGTATTTTTATTGAGGTTACAAGGTGACATATATAGTGCTCCCTCCTCCTATTTTTCCCCCACATCAGCTCTGTGAAGTAGGCTAGGTTGAAACAGAGTGTCTGATCCAAAGTCACCTGATAAGCTTCTGTGACTGAAGGTGAACTAGGAGTTGGTCTCCCCATTCCTTATCCACTACGCTACACTGACTCTCAATGTTTATGAACATTTTATGTGGACCATAAACGCAGATATGCCAAAAACTACACACATACATACACACATACCAATATAGAGGAAAGTGAATATAAAAGGCATCTATTAGCATAAAGTGTAGGAAAATCTATATGAATTTTCATATGATTTTTTAAAAAAAGACCCAGTTGTCAAAAGTGGAATGGAATGCATAAAGTCAAGAAAAATAAGAAAACCGATTAATTGAACGTAACAGATTTGCCTAACTATGGAAGCCTCTGAATCCAACCAACAGCATGCTTTAATTAAATAAATAAACAAACCAATCTGCAACTAAATAGTTGGTTTACTGATAGGATTCTTCCCCCAACTTTCTCAGTATGGATTGCCCAGAGGATAACAGTAGTATAGTACAGTTGCTTGCTTGCTTTGTTCAGGTAAATATAACTTGGTTCAGACCTGCAACTCATAGTGCTCAGATCCCTTGTGATCAGTCTCCCTTGTGAGTGTTATCCATTGTGTTAATGCTTAAGGATGTTCACTATAATATGCCTATATACTATAAACTGTGAAAGGGTGAGTGAAGTAAATCTCAACAAGCCATTATCTGCTTTGGGTATACTTGCTGATGTCGTTAGTTTCTTCTCCTCTATGACTCCTCCTGAAAGTAATTAGTTTGGGGCCACATTCCACAACAGAGCACTAGCTCTAATCAGCCAAATGCAATAACACTAAGTTAGCAAAACAAGGATCATTCCTTTATCTTGCTAGTGGAAAAAAAGCAAATTCTATTCAGCTCTATCTTGTGAGCAGCCAATCCTGCACTGTCTGGAAGGTGGCTTTTAACTGAAAGAGTTAATGGCTACTTTAAGAAGGGATGTTTATGCTGTTTATCGTCTAGCTGGCAAGAAGCAAATACTTTGGTTTCAGTCCTCTATCTGGTACTCTCCTTTGGCAGAATAAATGGTCCTGAAGTATCTAGATAACATAAAATAACTATTGGCTTCTCTCAGTCCATAAAGCCCTTGTCTGTGAAAAGTGGGAGCTGTGGAACTCCCTCAGTGTGAACATTTCTCTAAAATGAGAGTTTATGGATTGTAATAACTGCTACCCTAAAGCACTCCCACATCACTCTGTCTTCACTCCACAAAACCTTCAGAAACAGAAACCTTCAACCATCAACTATCAATCTTCTTGAATCACTGAGAACCTAGGAAACAATATGTGCTTCCCCCAGCTGACCAACAGGAAAATATATCATCATCATCATCATCATCATCTTCATCATCATCATCATCATCATCATCATCATCATCTTCATCATCATCATCATCATCATCTTCATCATCATCATCATCATCATCTTCATCATCATCATCATCATCATCTTCATCATCATCATCATCATCATCTTCATCATCATCATCATCATCATCTTCATCATCATCATCATCATCATCATCATCATCATCATCATCGTTTCAACCACATTCTTAATTCATGCTGAGTTCATTTCCAAATTCCTAAAAAACTATAACAAAAATCTGACCAGCTGCTATGATGGAGTTGAAAAAGCTGCCAAGGTACATTACTCTGGCTTAGTTTCAAAGACCAGTGAAATACTACATGAACCTGTAGTGGCTGGACCTCTATAGAGTCCAGGAACTGGGATAATGAAAAGTTCCCACCATAAAAAAAGAATCCATCCTCAAGCTTAATAAAGTTCCAGCATCTCTAATGGAAAATCAGATTCCCCGTGATTCCCTGTAGCTGAGCAGAAAAGAAGTTGATGTGGAATTGGACAGTTAATTTGGGAGCAGGGCAGAGAGGAAACACCCTTAGTCTCATAGCCATAAGGTCAGTTGTTTAAGGGGAAAAAAGCTTCAAAAACTTCTACTATGTATATGAAAATGGAACACAATTCACACCTGGCTTTGATTTGCGAAAAGAAAGAGGGAAATGTAAATTGTTTGTTAGTCTAATCCAACCTTTTTCTTCTCTAGACATGTGTGAACAAAACTATCACAGCATATATTTGAAACCTATTTCCTTCTAATAACCTTTTGATCTCACATCGCCATTGGATGCACCCACCAATTAGTCTAGTGCTAGTGAGAAAAGTAAAAAAAAAAAAAAATCTTACCCACAAATGGTATATTGCCTGTGGCAATCATAGTTCCTTTTTGTTTAGCATAAACATCCTCAAAGTTTTTAAAAAGAATAACTTGTTCAGACTTGTGAACAAGTATGGATAGTATATGCATTTTCAGTTATATCACTGCTTTTGGCAGAAACTAAAACTCATTCTATCTTAAACATCTATTAATATTTGACATCCACTTTACAAATGGAATAGCTCTGAGGCATGGAATTCTGCATGGTGGAATCTCGGAACATTTGACAGTACAGTTTTGATAGAGTCAACTGACTTCAAATTTCAAGCCACATTTCTCTCCTGATGTGTTTTAAGCACCACTTTCTGTTCTTTGTGTCTCAGAAATAAATTGTATTCCTGAAGGTTCAGATATGGTAAGACTTAGATAAATTCTTGTTTAAGGAAAGGATTCAAAGATATAATATTATTCTCTTACAGCAAGTCAAGAGCTACTAATCCCTTTCAGAGGTTTTCCTTCATTAGTTCAAACACACAAGAAGGGCAGGAAGGTATACCTTCTAGTAGTATCTGCCATATTGTAGTTTCCATGAGCTTCACCCAAGATCTTCACATATTAATAATAACAACAACAACAACAACAACAACAACAACAACAACAACAAAGCCTGGCAGAGAGATGTTCTTTCTGCATTCAGGTGAATATAGTTAGAATTCTTGTTGTGGCTGGATAGACTTCCAGGTCTACTTTGCTGAATGCATGAAGAATCTCCCTCTGACTTTCTGTTCTAACAGATGAAGTTTACAAGGGGAATATTGCCTTCATAACTCTGTATCTTGCTCAAAATAGAGGCATTCACATGAGCCTTCTTAAAACATGGGTAAAGAATACATCATAGCTAGCCTAGTTCCATCTCCTTAATGACACATGGACCAACTACAATGTATAGCAACTAATGGGTTTGGTAGCAGTGGGAAGGGGTATGGTCACAATGTATTGGCTGACCCAGGATTCTGCTTCATATAGAAGATCCCATGCACCTACATCAATACATTCATACTGATGCCAAACATATAAACAGTGGACATACAAGAGTATAATTAGCCAGCAGAATCCCATGATCCTGTCAAGAGGCATTTCCCTATGAGCAGCGTTCATGTGAACCATTTAATTCCATATCCTACTCTGTAGTGGGAAGCCCCTAGTTCCTGAGATTTGGGGGAGTCATATTGAGTAATGATTCAGTAATCCAGCTGTCTAAAGTTGTTAGAATGTCAGATATCATATATCATAGTTTATGTATATGATATATCCATAAATTCTTGTGAGAAATATGAGCAGGGGGTCTCAGCACTCCAGTAAGCAATCATCATAATAGTGACCTTGAGTCTTAGAGAATGTTCTCTCGTAGCCTCTTAGCAGATATTGATGGAGCTTCCAAAGATCCATGTTTCACTTAAGATCTATGTATGGCCACTGGCCCATGTAAACATCCCATTCAAATCTGTTCCAAAATATAAGAACTATCACAAAGTTATAAATATATAGGGTAACATTTGCACACAACAGCTTCTGAAATAAAAGGGCTGGATTTTCCATTTCAGCTGAAATCAAGCTCTAATACTGGTTCTTCTGCTGTTTCACTGTTATTGGTCAAGTATCAAATGCTGGCAATTTGGAACCTCTATATCCATAGATAAAGTGAATGACACAGTTTATTGAATGAGCAAATCAAGGCATGTAGAGACAATGAACTTTAAATTTGATTGCAACACCATTGTTGTATACAATCCTTTGAAAATAATTTCGGGGTAAAGTATATCAGGAAAGCCAGTTTGGTGTAGTGATTAAAGGTACCAGGTTAGAAACCAGGAGACTATGAGTTCTAGTCCTGCCTTAGGTACAAAGCCAGTTGGGTGACCCTGGGCCAGTCACTCTCTCAGCCCTAGGAAGGAGACAATGGCAAATCACTTCTGAAAAATCTTGCCAGGAAAACTGCAGGGACTAGTCCAGGCAGTCGTCAGGAGTCAACACTGACTTGAAGGCTCACACACAAAATATATCAGATGAAAAAAAAAAAGTATTTTACTTATAACTAAGATATTGCTATTCTGTAAGTATAGCCCAATTAGTCTAATGTTCAGTACAGGCTCAGAAAGGGGAATATGATATTGGATCCAGCCTTCTTCTAGCTCACAAGGCTGATTCTTTTTGGAGTTGGGAAACTTAATCTTGGAAATCTTGTAAAATGCATGAAAAGGTTAGCAAAGGAAATAAAATGGAAGGAGCTAAGGATATTAAAGATCCCATGCCATGCCTTTGACCTAGAGCAAAATGTAGAATTTCTACTGGACTAGTCTAAATAATTTCCTCCCATTGCTTGTAAGTGAGAGTGCATATTTAAAAAAAAAAAAAGAGGTCAGGAAGAAGACAAACAAAGCTACAAACTTTCCCATTTCTATTCTGCTGATCTGAAAGTATTACGTTTTGAGCTTCTTGGGGCACATTTGGAGAACTCCAGTGAGAGCATTAGATTGTGCTTCCCAATATTTTAATAGGGCAAAAGCTTTTAAATAGCATTCTAAATGTATGCCATGTTGGATCCACATATCTAGGCAATTCCTATAAGCTAACACATTGTTATAGATGTTTTATGACTACTAAAATTCTAAGATAAAGAAGCAATGACCTACCCAAAGATGTTCTGGCTGGTACGGCATCCTTATTAATCCAGAAAGAAACCCAGGAGAGCACTACAATGAGCGTGCAGGGGATGTAAGTTTGAATGGTGAAATAGCCCATCCTTCGGCTTAGATCAAAATAGACTGCCATGACCACATAATCTCCTGTAAAAGGTATAGAGAGAGATACAGATACACAAAATACATTATACAGCCAAATTACTATCTACTGCTGCATTCTATAGTGGACTCAAGAGAAGTGAAATTTTCAGCGCTGAATCTTTTTTTTTTTTTTTTAATCCCATCTCCTTTCACTAGACCTTTGCTCCCTCCAGCTGGACTAAAAAGTTAATTGAAAACTGTGCAAGAGCACCCCCATGACTGATGCACATACATTTAAGAGAATTGCTTCATTAATTGCAATGAGTCTAGATAATCAGAGTGCACTTAACCTCCTATCTACCACAAGCTAGCAAATGATGGCAGGGTGGAGTGTACCATATCTATCCAGCTTAACTTACATTTCTCCATGGATGGAATACCCTTCAATGCCAGGTTAGTGACTAACCAATCAATTTCAATATGCTAGCTCTTGTTTTCATTTTTTTATTTTAATTTGCTTCCACAAGACTCTCCAAAAGTGCAGTTTGTCACATTCAACTCACATTAGCTCTTATCTCTTTTCTTTTTTTGATTTTCTCTTCTCTTTGATTCATTTTTGCCATGAGCTCTTCAGTTTCTCTCTTCCTCTTTCTGTACTTAAATGATTTTGCTGTGCCATCACAATCAAAGAGGAATAAAAAGGATGACGTGTCCATGAAGAGGAAGGATTCTAATGCATCCTGGGGTTGAGAAAAGGACTATTCCTCTCTTTCCAGGCTCTTTCCACAGATGCAACCCCATAGTAGAAGACAACGGGGACATACTGTTTCAATGTTCTTTTAGAGAATGAGGCAATTGGTCATTTGTAAAAAGTAAAACTAGTAACCAAGTAAAAACCTGGATTTTTAGTAATATTTTCATCTGACTGGGCTGGTTTCCCAGAACTATGTGCACCATGGGGTTAGAGGTAGAGCATTCAATTAAAAGACATGTATAGATTCAGACAACTCTAAAACTATCAGGTCAAATCTGCAAAAGTACATGTGATCACTAGATGGCAGCAAAATGTTAGAGTTTTCTGTATTGCTTTCTTGCCATCTTCTGGTAGCCTGAGATGACCCTAAATGTTGAGCAGATGTAGGTGCCTTGGACAAAATCTGTGGCTTAACAATGCAAAGCAGATTCCCCCCTGCAAAAACAAAGTGAGCTGTCAGGCTTTGGGTATGGTTCAGAAGTTTGGGGTACTGCAGAAAGCAGATGCTAGAGGGAGAGAGAGGTTGAAAAGAAGGAGACAAGCAGGACAAAAATAATGCAGGAAATTCTTTATCAGATATACTGCCAAAAGCTAGGCACTGTGTTTCAATTCTCGGGAAAATACCCTTTAATTTCTCTTTAAATTGTGCCATGGCATATAAAAGGAGAAAAAGAAGACCAGAATCAACAACCGACACACACATTAATCTTCTACTCATAGGGCTACAAGGTCTAAGCTCCAAAAATCCAGGTATCCATGAGATAGCAGCAAAGAGTTAGTTTAGTGGGATTCTGAGGAATCATCGCAGATCAAAATACTTAAATAGAGATGTTCAAATATCACAAGATTTAGTACATATTCAACAAAACTTTTCCATCTTTTTTTTCCAAGAAGCTTATTAAGGAGTTATTTTCCCCTCCTAGTTCAGCAATTCTGCCTGCTGATTGCTAGGTTGTTGGTGCAGGAATCCTATGGATTTTGGCATCATTGTTTGAAAGATGTTGGAAACCTGTCCCTCTCCTTCCCTGTAATTCACTGGCATTGACCATTGGTAAGGGGAAGATTAATTAATAATATTTTACCCCAGCCTGCCAATGCCCTTTGCGCACAAAACCAACCAAACATATAATTAAAACTTAAAATTCTTGTATATGAAATTTGGTAGGATTTATCCCCACTGTTGGGATCATTGTGATTAAAAATGTCATTTAATTCTGTCCCAAGTCAAAAATTTCAGGCTTTGTTCATGTTTCAAAAGGCCTAGAATTGAAAAGAGCCTATCTCCAAAAGCTCTGCACCTATTGTTGCAAATGTTCTCACAAATTTAATCCTTTGTCCCCTTGCCGCGGACACAAAGACATAAAGCTTCCATATTTCAATACTTGCCCTGAGACAAAGCAAATAGACTCTGACCTGATATAAGTAAAAGCACCAAATCATACCTGAAACCAAATTTTGTCATCAGTGCAGGCATCTAGTATATACTGATTTTTTATTTGTTTAAAAGATGTGTTTCATTTTAAGAATGATTTCAATTTCTCACCCTCTATTTTATCATTTCTTTATTTATCTGAGAATTGCCCTTACGGAATGATTGAGAAATTGATCTTATTAATTTTTATATGAGTTACTATATTTATTCCTTCCAAATTTATAGGAGATTCTATATTTAATGGGATCCACTTACCCACAACCAGTTCATTAGGGGCTGAAGCAACTGAAGACTGACAAGAGGAAAAGCTTTATTCCCAGAATTGTTTGAAACTGTGGTTCTTTTAGTCGCCACTAAACAAACCACACTTTCAAACAGTTCTGGTAATAAATGGCCACTTGTCAGAAAAACCTTGCACTCCAACAACAGGATCTTAGCTGAGGCAAAAAATATGAGTCCATCAAATCAGATTGGAGGAGCCCTACTAGGTCTCTATATTAATGTTAGTAAAGTTTGTTTATGCAGATTCACTATGACGAATGTCTGTGGCACTGAATAATTGACTCTCAAAGTTATGAAAAGGAAAACAATCTCTATGAACTTGATTTATATCCACAATACTTCACCAAAAAAGAAAAAAAAACCTGAAATATTACTTCCACAGTATGGAAACTAACTATGTAAGTTCCATATACATGCATTTAATTTCCCCACTGTATTCTGGCTTGTTAAATTTATCAAAATATAGTACCCTTGTTTCACTTTGCAATATATAGCTGCAATCCTATACAGATTGTTTCAGCCCTATTAAACTGAAGGAGTACTTCATTCTGAAGAGATATGCTTACTAGGAGTGTATGAATTAGCCACAACCTTATTTGACCTTGCTGTTCAATTCAGAGGCAATTTGATTGAAATTTGCAATTCAAAGAATCAATTGGATAGGAATTTACAGTCAATTTAAGTTGACTAAACTGTGTAATTCAAATCATCATATCAATTTGATTAAAATATTTGACAAATTAAGTGTCTCTCTGCACTTCTGCAAAATTTTATCAAATCTTCAAATCAGTTTGGAGGCAATTGATTTGATTTGGCAGGTCAAATTAATTTGGCAATTCAATCCAAAGATTCAATTCAAAGGAATTATTTGATTGAAATGCCTTCAAACTGAAGCTTCCAAGCTTCTCACAGCCCTAATGCCTAGAAGTATACAGTTATTATGACTTTTAAAATGTTAATCCTGTTGGTACTGCAGCTCAAATCCTTCCCTTCCTTCTAGCAGAATTTCATTTACTTTTTAGCTTGCTCGCCTTTCAGTCTAAGAAATTCAGGAGAAAGTTTCCAAGCAGGAATAAAACAACAAAAAACATCACAACATTGACCCAAGCATAAAAAGAGCAAGAATATTGCAGTTGCAACAATAAAACAACCAGACTGTTCATTCATTGAACATTCATTGTGGTGCTCTTAGCAGTTGTACAGCAGAATCCAATGTTTGGCATTGCGTCTGTAACTCAGTAAAGCAGACACCAAGCTGTTTCATTATGTGGCGGCCTTCAAAATGAAACAAACACACACCTGCCTTCAGTCACCACAGAAAGCTTCCAGCGAATACAAACTTAACATTCACCACTCAAATCTCTTTTCAAGGCAACAACTGGGCCAGTGGGCTCTTGAAATCAAAAATGATGCTTTTGGCTGGGACAGATGCTGTGGCATTTGGTTAAAACTATCATGGGGTGCTTGAGTTAACCCAGCACCATAAACCTACAGGGACACCTTGTATTAGAATCTATAGAATGTTAAAACATTTAAATAATTTGAACCATATCCCCCCTAATTTTGGCAACACAGTTATACTGGCCTTTTGTTCAACCACAGAAGCAATGTCGAGGATAATTATATACTTACCTTGGCAAATGCAGGCCAAATGAATGACAAAATATTTGTATTTAGCTTCATTTGGGATATGCCACTGACGCAACTTTTTAATTTTTATTTGTTTAAAATAATATTGTTCATTGGCTTTCTGCTAGTAGGTCTGACACAAAGGGCACTTTATTAACTGCCACTGGAATGGCTAATCTAAAAGCAAAGGCAGAAGCTTCTCAGTTCTTCCTCAGGGGCATAAAAAAGGAGAGAAAGAGAAGGATGTAAGCACAAGTAGTTTCCAAGAGTCTCCAGACGGAGCCATGCAGCTCTGTGATCCTTCAAGTCTGAGCTATATGATCCTTAAATATACATCCATCCTCTTCAAGGATTCAAGATGGCGGCAGGGGGCGGACGCCTAGTGTGTAGCTCCCAGCCATAACCACGAATTTACCAACTTTTGACCATAGCCAGCATGGGAGTGAGGAGAGTTGGAGGTGGCGAATTTATAGGTGAATGTGGGGTGAATGGAGAGAATCCCCGGTGTTACCTCCGTTCGATGAGGGCCGTCACAGTGAGGAGGAGAATTGCTGTGGTGGTGGCTGGGACAAGGATGTAGAAGACGGAGAGGAAAGGACATGGGCAGCAGGGCAAGTGTGGAAGAGGGCAGCACTTGGACCCAGGGGGACAACGGAGGTTGCAACGGCTGCAGCGGCAGAGGCGGGAGAGTGTTGGTGGCAGCTGCCAGGGCTGCGCCGTCTGGGCTGAGAACGATGCCCAGGCTTGAGTGCGGTGATGCCAGAGCTGAGAGCTGGTCCAGCTGGGCTAAGAATGTTTGCGGAGCTGGAGCCGAAGCCCAATGCCGTTAGTTTGGGTGGTAGCAGCGACAGTGGTGAGAGCACCGGCGATGGCAGCAGGGGTGAGGCGGAGGCAGACCGGATGGTGACGGCAGAGTGGAGGCCAGAGCCCAGGGGCCCACAGTACCCAGACCCACAGAGACATTGG